TCCTTGTCAATGGTGATTTATTTGGTTATACTTTCAATTAAACTATCAGATGTGCTTCTACATCATCATTGAACGTTACTTTCATTTTTTTAGATATTTTGTCTCACAATTATTTGTGCTTGGTGTTATAAAATTTATTACATCTCTGCTTGCTAAAGCTATTAGATAGACCTAATATAAGAAGTACAAACTATTTCAATGTCATTCTCGAGATTAAAAGTATAAAAAAACATACACAAAAAGTATATGAATAAACATGATTTTACAACATTTGTTTGTGGGTCTCACTTCTCGAAAATCCTATAATTTATTTATTTTTTGTATTATATTTTATGTTTGGTTTATATACTTATATATATATATATATAGTTTTCTTTGTTTTCTTTATAATTTTATTTTTAAAATTAATTAATTAATAAATAAGTCATTTTTGTTTTTATTTTATATTTTTTCTTAAAATAGTTTTAGTTTTGAGCAATTATTTACTTTTTTTCTCTATATATTGTTATTTTATGCATTTTAAGTGTATGATATTTTTACTAATATACTCAGAGATACACTATGAAAGAAGTATCATGCGAAAATCAAGTAAGAAAAATAAAAATAAATAAAATAATACAATGAATGTAGAGTAAAGATCAAAGATCAAAACTGCAAATTAAGCAAGCAAACAAACAAGTAAAATAGAATGTTTAACAATAGACATTTGAAAATTTGCAACAAAATTTTATAACTTTCTTTTTTTCAAAGAAAATTCCATTTGGTACTAGTTAAATAAAATGCTTTTAAAATAGTTTTTTTTTTTTTAAATTTGAAATTAAAACTATAGTGAATTTATGTAAGCATAATTGCTAACCACATTTTTTTACTTATGCTGTGTTCGGTTGGGGGATTTGGAAAGGGAAAGGGAAAAAGTGTATGAAACTAGGTGAAATATAGACATATTTTATTTACATTTCACCTACCTTTTCCATTTCCCTTTCCAAATCCTTCCCCAAATCCTCCAACCAAACACAGCATTAATGTATAATATTTATATTGACTACCTTTTTCAGGTTTATCTTTTTAAGTATTTATATAGAAGTAAAAAAATATTGTTAGGAATAAATTTTTCCTTAATTTAGTTATAAATTTTGTCCATATATTATTTTTAAATTTTGAACGAAAGTAAACATAAAATAATTGATTAAAAATATGCTAAACTTGTTATATTCCTTTTTTTTGTGCAAAAAAAATATATATATTTAAAAATCACAATTCACATATATGTAAATAATTGTAAGCACAAATTAATATTATCTTATTTTCTATAATTAAGACAACTTTTAATATTGTACTATTTTCTATACAAATTAATATAAATATATTCATTTAATGTTGTCTTAACAAATCATCTTAAGACACATATTAACCAAAACCTCTTATATATTGTCCTGATTCAATTTGTTTTCTTTTTTACAATGGTGAGAAATTTACCCACTACCACACAAGTGGGAGCTTAAAACACAAGTGGGAGTTTAAAGTATGTACAAGTAGGGACATCCCTCTTGTCTCTTTCTTTTACTTCGGTCAAGCGAGACAACTACAGCTTGTCCCGAACGGATCAAGATCCTCTCCAGCTATGGTTTTCTCCAGCAGTGACCTGCACTTTGTTCCAGATGAAGACACGTGAAGAAGAGTTGGTCCAATGGACTGAAATGAACCACATAGTGCAGATGGTGAGAACAAAGGGGAACAGTACCGTTTTAACTGACGGTGCCTATAACAACGGAATCAGCCATGTTCTCTTATTTTTACCATATATCCAAGAAGAGATGTGTTGATTTGCTTGAAGTCTTGTGTTTTGACTTCAAGAAATTTAGGACTTTGTTTTGAATTCAGAAACAAATCAACTCCGTCTATTTGTGTTTTTTTTTTTTTTTTATTCTTAAACAAAATTAACTCTTCTCTTGCTCTATCTATATATATATATATATTATTTTTTATTCTTGTATCAAATTTAGTGTTTTTTTTTTATTGTTTTTTATTACTGTATCAAACTAATGCTTTTTTATCCAATTGCATTGTAAAAAATGTTATTGCAATTGGGGCTCTGGTTTTTTTTTTATTTTGGGGCTCTGGTTTTCTATTTTCTATTTTATTTTTATGTTTTTTATACCTGTATCAATGTGCATTTTATTGAAAGCTAATAACATGTTAGTGTTATTATAAAAAAATTTGACCTAATTTGTGAATTTGCATTCTTAAGTTAGTATAAGAAAAAAAATTAATTTATTGGATTTGTTGCCTAATTTATTGGTTGTCGATAGCTGTGAAAGTTTGGTCCTTAAATATTAACTTTGCAAGCAATAGTAGAGCAAGGAAGGATCAAAATTGTAAGGCTAGAAATAGTAGAGAAGTATTGTGCAGAGTTGAGTGGCTGGTGTTTGCTTTGGTTGCTTCCTTGTTTATGAATGTACTAGCTTTTGGGGCAAAAATGTAAACCTTTGAATGACAAAATGTGGTTCGATTGGCCTGCTTGATGGCCAGAGATTTGCTTTTGACCAATGTGGTTGTCGAAAGTGATAACTCACTGGTTATTAAGTTGTGTGTCTGAAATAGTTCCCCCCTGGGGTTGCATGGCCATCTTTTCTGATATTAAAAGGCTCTCCCAAATAAGGAATGTGTCCTTTTGCTGGACAAGGCGTAGTTACAACAGAGTGGCGCATTGGCTTGCCAACACACAAGTCTTTACCTGTTAACTGGGTTGTTTTGCCCCCCTTTAGAGCTTTGTTCTCTTCTTCGTCAAGATGTAATGACTTTTCCTCCTTAACAAATTTCCCAGTTTTGCTTGTTCAAAAAAAAAAAAAAAAATGACAAAATGTGAACTTTCTATTTATATTGAAAGCACTGTAACGGAGATTAACAGAATGTAATGGTAGTGCACCATTCAACATTGTAATGACATTGGTGAATTTATTTTGATGAATGAATAAAGGATTTATTTTGTATCATGACTTTGTGGCACCAATTTTTTCTATCTATCTATATATATATATGTATGTATGTATGAATATGTGTGTGTTAGATTTTTTTTTTTTTTTTTTTTAATGTATTTTGAGAAACATGCCCTTCAACATTGATTCAACATTGATGCAGCAGCAGCAGCTGCTTGCTAAGAACGCAAATTGAATTAGTGTCACAGCTAGTCCTTACCAAGAATAAAATGATTTTGTTTTAGACAAAAATCTCTCAAACATAAATGGCATGGATGAAATTAGGCAACAAATCCAATAAACTAAATTTTTTTATTATACCAACTTAAAAAAGTGAATTCACAAATCAGGTTCAACAAAAATTATATATAACACTACCATGTTATTATCATTGAATAAAAAGCACTTTCATAAAGAACAATTAAAAAATAAAATAAAAATAATAAAACAGAGCACCAAATGTAATAAAATAAAGGAAAAAGTTAGGGATCATGAAATTTTTTTCATAAAAATGATCATAAAAAATTTATGATCCTTGGATTACCTTGAATAGTATGTGGTGCTTTTTCTAAGTGTAATCTAATGGTCACAAAACTTTCATGATTATTTTCATGAAAGGTTTTTCATGATACCTAGCATCGCTGTAAAATAAATAAAAAAACAGAGCACCAAAAGTAATAAAATATTTTTATAATGTAATTGGATAAAAAGCATTACTTTGATATAGGAATCAAAAGCAATAAAAAAAAATCACTAAACTTGATACTTGAACCAAAAAATATATATATACAGAGAAAGGAATTAATTTTGTTTCAAAAAGAGGGAGAGAGAGTGAGAGTTGATAACGTAAATAAACACAACACCTCCAAGCAAATCAACACAACATCTCTTCCAAGGATATATATAGAGTTGATAATGTACCAAAATGGAGTGTCCCTTCCTTCGGTGTAAAGGGTTCTTTTTGCTGGTGTTGCTGCTGATGTTTGAAGGGTTCTTTCAGTCGGTGCTACTTCTGGTCGATGCACACTGGCAGTTGTCGGTGTTGCTGCTGATGTTTGAAATTGAAATTGAAAGGGAGAAAAAAGAAATGCACTCCGTTTGCCATTGCCACCGTTAGTCAAAACGATGCTATTTTTTCGAAAACGGTACCGTTTCAATTTGTTCTAACCATCTGCACTACGTGGTCCATGTCAGTCCATTGGATCAACTCTTCTCCATGTGTTTTCATCTGGTACAAACTGCAGGACACTGCTGGAGGAAACCATGGCTGGAGAGGATCCTAATCCCCAATCAAGGATCAATGAAACCCAGTTGAACTTGAGCATTACAAATCCTCAATTTTCAAACTCACTACTCACCTATTCCAAACTCAGTTCATCAGAATTCAGAGCTCCATTATTTTCTCATCAACAGAGCAAAATGGCGGAGATTGCGGTGTTCCATCTACTAGACAACCTTGCACCCTTCCTCCAACAAGAGGCCAATTTGCTGATCGGAGTTCAAGAAATATATATATACAGAGAAAGGAATTAATTTTGTTTCAAAAAGAGGGAGAGAGAGTGAGAGTTGATAACGTAAATAAACACAACACCTCCAAGCAAATCAACACAACATCTCTTCCAAGGATATATATAGAGTTGATAATGTACCAAAATGGAGTGTCCCTTCCTTCGGTGTAAAGGGTTCTTTTTGCTGGTGTTGCTGCTGATGTTTGTAGGGTTCTTTCAGTCGGTGCTACTTCTGGTCGATGCACACTGGCAGTTGTCGGTGTTGCTGCTGATGTTTGAAATTGAAATTGAAATTGAAAGGGAGAAAAAAGAAACAACAATGTTAGGTATCATGAAAAATCTTTCATGAAATCTTTGTGACCCTTGGATTACACTTAGAATAAAGCACCACACATTAATCAAGATAATCAAAGATCATAACTCTTTCATGATCATTTTCATGAAAAAATTTTCATGATCCTAACTTTTCTCAAAAAGAAATGCACTCCGTTTGCCATTGCCACCATTAGTCAAAACGATGCTATTTTTTCTAAAACGGTACCGTTTCAATTTGTTCTCACCATCTGCACTACGTGGTCCATTTCAGTCCATTGGATCAACTCTTCTCCATGTGTTTTCATCTGGTACAAACTGCAGGACACTGCTGGAGGAAACCATGGTTGGAGAGGATCCTAATCCCCAATCAAGGATCAATGAAACCCAGTTGAACTTGAGCATTACAAATCCTCAATTTTCAAACTCACTACTCACCTATTCCAAACTCAGTTCAGAATTCAGAGCTCCATTATTTTCTCATCAACAGAGCAAAATGGCGGAGATTGCGGTGTTCCATCTACTAGACAACCTTGCACCCTTCCTCCAACAAGAGGCCGATTTGCAGATCGGAGTTCGAGAAGAGATCGAATACATCAGAGATGAATTCGAGCGCATGACAGCTTTCCTCAGAGTTGCCGATGCTATGGAAGACAACAACCCCGAACTCAAAGTATGGGTCAAGCAAGTCCGAGAAGCTGCGTACGACATTGGAGATGTTCTCGAGTTGTACATGCTTCGCCTTGGACATCGTCATGGCGCTGGATTTCGCGGTTTTCTTCATAAGGTTTCTTGCTTTATTAAGACTTTAAAAGCTCGTCATCAAATTGCTTCTGAAGTTCAAAGAATGAAGTCCAGAGTCGAAGAAATTTCCAAGGGACATCAGAGGTACCATGATATATATGGTACGTTAGAGCAAGGTTCAAGCTCAAGGTCCACTGGTCTTAACACAGCGTGCCATGATTATCGTCGCGATGACCTTCTACTCCATGAATCCGAGCTTGTGGGCATCGACAAGCCCAAATCGCAACTAATTAGGTGGTTGGTGCATGAAGACCCCAGACTTAAGGTGTTTTCCGTATCAGGAATGGGCGGATTGGGCAAAACAACACTCGTTAAAAAGGCCTTTGATGATGCAGATGTGAAGAATCATTTCCAGAGCCATGTTTGGATCACTGTTTCTGAACCCTTCAAGATTGAGGTGCTCCTAAAAGGCATCATCAAACAACTTTTTGAAGAAATCAAGCAACCAGTCCCACAAGGTATGGACAACATGGATACGAAAAACTTGAAAGGGATAATTCATGCTTTCCTGCAACAAAAGAGGTATGTGCTTGTTTTCGATGATGTATGGGATATTCATGCCTGGCAATCTTTTAGATGTGTGTTTCCTATTGGCAATTGTGGGAGTCGAGTAGTGCTAACAACCAGAAATGCAGATTTCGCTTTTTCCGCTAGTTCAGAATATCATGGGGATGTCTGTAATCTTCAGCCCTTGACTCCAGAAGAGTCCTGGACATTGTTTTGCAGGAAAACATTTATGGAGAATTCTTGCCCTTCACACTTGGAAAGACTTTCAAAATCCATCTTGAATAGATGTGAGGGATTGCCGCTTGCAATTGTGGCAATTAGTGGTCTTTTATCAACAAAGGATAAGAGCAGAATAAGATCAACCGCAGCCTTGGTGCAGAACTAGAAGGAAATGACCGACTCCTAAGCATGAAGAACATATTGTCCCTCAGTTATATTGATTTACCTTATTATCTGAAGTTCTGCTTTCTTTATCTAAGTGTTTTTCCGGAGGATTGTTTCATTGACCATTGGAGATTGATTCGATTATGGGTGGCAGAAGGATTTGTAGAAACGAAAGCAGGAATGACAAAAGAAGAAGTTGCCGAGGGCTACCTCAATGAGCTAATCAATAGAAGCTTGGTTCAAGTGGCAGAGAGAAGAAGTGATGGAAGGGTCGCAACGTATCGCATCCATGACCTTTGGCGTGAAATTATTGTTTCGAAGTCGGGAGAGCAAAACATTGTGACACTAGCCGGTGAAAAAAGCAGAGAGTGGCCCGAAAAGGTGCAGCGCTTAACAATCCACAATCATTTGGAAAATACACAACAAAGCAAGTGTTTCACTCGACTTCGTTCTTTGCTTATGTTCAATGCAACAGGTTCACTGTCCAAGTTCTCCATGCTTGCATCGTCAAATGATGGTCTACGGTTTCTAACCGTGCTAGACTTGAAAGGTGCCTTGTTGGAGACATTCCCAAATGAAGTTTTGAAACTAGTTCAACTCAGGTATTTAAGTTTGAGGGGAACCAATGTAATAGTAATTCCGAAGTCGATTGGAAAGCTCCAAAACCTGGAAACATTGGACCTCAAAGATACGTACGTCACTGAGTTGCCTGATGATATCCTGAAGCTCCAACAACTTCGCCATATCTTGTTGTATCGCTACATACAAGATCTTGTTCCTTCAATTTGTTTTCGACACCATTGCGGATTCAAAGCCCCGACGGAAATAGGAAGGTTGTCATCCTTACAGAAACTTTGTTCTATTGAAACAAACCATGATGGTGGGACCATTTTGCTAGGAGAGGTAGGGAAGTTGACTCAACTGAGGAAATTACAGATTGAAAGCCTGAGAAATGAAGATGGGTGGGTGTTATGCTCGTCCCTTGAGAAGCTTAGTAACCTTCGCTCATTGATTGTTCGTGCAGCAGGAGAAGACGAGATCATTGATCTAGATTCTCTTTCCTCACCACCTCAACATCTTCGAACCCTCTACCTAGGTGGAAGTTTACGTAGGGTACCGCATTGGATACCTTCACTGTATAGCTTGGTAAGCTTAGTTTTAGCATGGAGTAAGTTAAGGGATGTTGATCCACTGGAATCCCTTCAAGGTTTGCCCAATTTGGTTGAACTTGAACTTGTTCGGACTCATGAAGGGGAAGAATTGTGTTTCAAGGCTGGTGGATTTCAAAGACTTCTGAGACTTGGACTCGGCGTATTAAAAGGATTGAGATGGGTGAAAGTGGAGGCTGGCTCAATGCCTCGTCTTGAAGAGTTATTTATCCGGCACTGCGAATTGGTAGAGGAGTTACCCTCTGGCATTGAACATCTAACCAGCCTTAAATCACTTGAATTGTATGATATGTCTGATGGATTGATTTCGACTATGAACAGAGACATGGAGTGTGGGAATAATTGGAAAATTGCACACATCGCAAAAGTTTGGATTGGGGACACAAAACATGGCTATTGGAAAGGAAATTATCTATAGTGAAGGAGGAGAGAGCTCTAATCATATTGAATCACCACCACATTTAGAATGTTTATTATGTATTTATTTATTTTCATGTGCTCTTGGTAATTGATTTGTTGTATTTATATTGGGGTCAAAATTTTCTCTATTTTTTTTTTTCTTTTCTCTATTACATTTTTGTTTTTTAGTAGTCTGGGAGCCTGTTAACAGAATACCTCATTTAGAATGTTTTTTAATAGTCTGGGAGCCTCTATTACATTTAGAATGTTTTTTTGTCCCTTGTAATTTTGAAAATTACAAATACCTCATTATCAAAAAAATTTATTTAACATAATTAACATAAAGATGAAAATTTTAATTATTCTCTTATATAATAATAAAATTATTTGAATTGTTAATTGAAATATATTTATGACATCATTAAAAATAATTAATTAATTTAATGATTTATTAATAAAATAAGTTATTTGTTATGTAATTAGAAACTTAAAGAGGCGAGCACTGCTGGAAATAAGGCTTTTAGCGGCGTTTAAAAAACGCCGTTATAAGTACAAAAAACGTCGCTAATTTTTTTTGTGACGTTTAATATCAAACGCCGATGATGCGGCCGTCGCTATAAGTTTATGGCGTTTGGAAAACGTCGCTGTATTAGTATAGGCGGCGTTTATAAAAACGCCGCCAAATGTCCTACCCTAACAATACTATGACGTCACTATGATTTTAGCGACGTTTTTAAAACGCCTTCATAGGTTTTTTTAATTTTAAAAATTCCAACCGTTATAGTGGCATTTTAAAAACGCCGTCTTATCTTTCTTCTTTTTTTTTGGTTTTGAAATTGTACTAATTTTATGTGATTGAACTAAAAGAACACCAATAATAAAACTAAATAACACTAATATGAAATAATAACTCCCATTCAAATAACAAATATAGTATTAATTCACTTTCCCATTCAATTTAATATAGCATTAATTTTCTAATAAATAAGAAAGAGGCAATCAAACCCAACCCACTGTCCCCCTAATAAATAAGAAAGAGGCAATCAAACCCAACCCACTGTCCCCCTAATAAATAAGAAAGAGGCAATCAAACCCAACCCACTGTCCCCCTAATAAATAAGAAAGAGGCAATCAAACCCAACCCACTGTCCCCCTAATAAATAAGAAAGAGGCAATCTGAGGGTACATAATTGATAGTTTTTACCAAGAATGAATATCAACCTATGAAGTAAAATCATAGAATGGTTTATTTCATTCAAACAAGTGTCGAGAAGGAAAGATAAAATAAAATCAGTCAATCACTGTCACTAGCATTCAATATGAGCTGTTGATGGCATTCAGTTAAAAGATTTTCTTTAGCAGTCACAATATTAATTCTTCAAATCTGTAGAGAGGGCCAAAAAAAATTCAGATTGAATATGATATGTAAACTAGAAGAAAGGAACATACAGTCTGTATTGGTTCCGCAAGCACCTCCCATGACTCATTCAAGTCTTCAAACAAAGAAGCTTCATTAACCTATGGCAAAATTAGTTCAACAAAAAAGTCAAATAATAAAAGGGAAGTAAACAATGGCAAGGGCAATGGAGAATGCTGCCTGATAAAAGTCAAATAGCAAACGCCAATTTCATCATATCAATAATATCAGAGTAATAATGTGTGACATAATATTTTCATAAGAAAACAACCTATAATAAGCAGATAATTACTACTACACCTTTACCGTTGACAAGATGAAAAGTAGTTAGTAATTATGCAGCAATGTTTTTCAATTTAACTTTTTACCTGCAGCTTTGATATTCCCTGTAATGCACTTCTGTACGCAAGAAGAGAATGTCCTAAACCTTCACCCATATTCCTTAGAACTGTTGAATCAGTTAAGTCACGCTGCACATAATGTACAAAAATAAATATTCACTTCCAAAACAGAAAGCATGTCTCACTCTATCACCACCACTAAAATTAGATGAGAAAAATTCTAACAACTAGCAAAATCTGGAGCAGTGGTTCAAATGTTCTGTAAATTTCATTAAAAAATATCCCTAAATAATCATTCTGTTTTTAAAAAATATTATTAGAGCAGTGGTTCAAATTATCACATTGATAATCTGGAGCAGCAACTAACCTACAACACATGGTTAAATTATGAAAGCATTTGCTAAAAACAATAAGGAGCAAGGACTGGATGTAAAAAATTGGAAAGAGAGTCCACTAATGAGTAACTAATAGATAATAAAGACTACCGACTTCTCTAGCTTTGATACATAGACCAGCCGCGGTAGTGGATGGTTGGGCTCTACAAGTCAACAAAGAACAGAGAGCATATCAAAAGGAGCCATTAAAATGTGGTTGCAGATTGCTAACTTAACACGTCGTCATCGCGTCCTTCTTCCCCCTATTCGATCCATTCATCAACAGCGTTATCAATGGCGGAATCGCTCCGCAAGCTCCGATCGAAATCTTGTTCTCGTCGATCAACGACAAGTTCAGCAACGCACATGCCGCTCTGAATCTTCGAAATCGCTCTGAACAGCCGATTGATATCGATCTGAATCTTCGAAATCGCTTCGAAATCGCTTTGAACAGCCGATGGAGCTTGTGTTCTTTGAAGCTCTCTTCAAGAACAGCCGATTGATCTTTCGAGAGATGAAGTTTCTTCCTAGAGTACTCTCCTTCGTCTTCTTCGTCGCTGAGAGAGAGAGAGAGAGAGAGAGAGAGATGTGTGCGTATAAGATAAGAGAGAAGTGTGGCTATAAGAGAGAGAAAGGGCTCAGATTCATGAATAAGGGTTTCAAAAAGGGGCGCGTGTATGCACCGCATTCGGAGGCGTTTCTAAACGCCTTCCATTACAAAACGGTGCCGTTTTGGTTAAAAAAATATATGGCGATTATAAAAACGCCGTTAAAAATTAAAAAACGGGACGTTTAATAAAACGTCGTTAATTAAACGCCGTTAAATCTCTAATTTCCTGTAGTGGAGATGTAATTTTTAGAATCACATAGGGCAATATATATTTTAAGCAAATCTCAAGATATGTATTTATAATTTATCAATATTTTAATAGAGTGCTAAATCATTAGATTTGAGTATTTATAATTTATCAATATTTTAATAGAGTGCTAAATCATTAGATTTGAAAAATAAGTCTAACTTTTTCATTAAAGTAGCACTACTCTTTGATTTTTTATGTTCTTAAGAACCTGTATACTAAATATGCTATTTATTGTAGTTTTTACAAATAAAATAAAAAGAATAAAAAATAAACATATTTTAGGTTCTTTGTACATAGGTGGGGGAAAAATAACCACAAGTTTGTAAACACTTCTTCAAATATTGGTTTTCTAATCATTTTAATTTAAATTGGCACAAGTTTTTCAAATCTCAAAATGAATTGAATAACTATATGTACCAATTAGTGTATTAACTAGTGTAC